AAACTTCTTTCTAACTATGCCCAATTAAATATTGAATTAGGAGGCAATATTGTGAACCAAGTAAAAGCATTTTTCGTTAAAGAACTTAGAAAATATTTCATTATCAGACTCTCACTAGCAAATTCCCACATTCGATTTGATATATAGTTATATGTTCAATAGTAGATTCCCAATATCACTTACAAATTTTGTAAACTTTGAAATCTTTTATCCTCTAGGAAATTCAGTCTCAAACACAAAATTGGGAAAAATGTGAAATAAAATATGGCTGGTTATATAATCTTATTCTCGCATCTAGTTGATTTCATTGCCCGATTACTTGGTTATAAGAATTTTGGTTGATAATTCTCATTATTCTGATTATTCCTTCTTATATTATCCTAAACATGTAAGATTTGGTCTGCATCTTGACCCCTGTTGAACATTTTGACATCGCTCTACATATTATAATTTTCTGACATATTTCGATTATTATTGTTTTGCTCTCCAAGGGATTCAGCTTGACTATTTCTTATTTGCATATTATCATTTGATAAGTTATTTCTTCTTGGGATAGCAAGTGCATCTCTTATCCTTGTCATTTGTTCTGCTAACTTTTGAAAACTATTGATAGTCCTTTGTACCAAAGGATTTAAAATTGTGGTCATTTATCGAGACAACATATTGACGATTTCATGATTACTATCATCCATTTATTATCTTATGACCCCTAACATACTACTTAATATCTTTCTGCTTATGTTATTGAAATCACCTTGATTTCTATTGTTCCCCTAGTCATTTCCAAATCTTAATTGATTTTGACTCCGATTATTCATTCTATTTGTTATTGTTGTCATATGTGGTCCTACATAAGTTCTACCTACCATATTATTTACTGGCTGAATTGTTTCTTAATTACTTTGACTACCAATATTTGGATAAATAGTAACACCCTGAACACTTTCACTCATATTTCCCACATTTTGACCCTCATTGTTATTATTCAGTATGGTGCTGGCTATTATCGCAGATTTCAGTATAGAGGTTTATGTGTTTTGATTTGTCATAATTATTCTATCACTTCTTAATATCATACACTATATATTTTCACTAGACGTGCCAATTTGTTATTAGTGTAAATGATTCGTTGTTCGATTTAATTAAATATAACTCCGTAATTTGTACAATGAATCACTTAAACATCATTCGGGTTCTTTATCTTAATATTACTCAAATTTTAGCACACAATATATTTCAACCAAAGATTGGTCGCATTCAATTTTTATTTTCAATATGATTTGAAACATCTAAAGTAAATCGCTAGAATGATAAAAGGCAATAAAAGTAAATTGCTGAAAATTAAATGTACAAAGAAAGTAAATGGCAAAAAAAATAAATTTAATACATTACTAAGGATAGAACAAAAATTTTAATAAAGAACCTCACTGAAAATGCTTGTTCCCAATTCATAGCGTTTTTCATAATACAAATCTTCGTACAATTTGACAATCACCCTAGTTATATTTATTTGATCGTTTACATATTTTCCCATGTAATCGCTAAGGTGACAAAATAAAATAACAAATAAAATTTACGAACAATTATTTTCTTATAACTGTTTTCACTATTCTTCAATCTTCTTTGTTGATACGTGTCATTTGTAACTGCATATACCAAGAAACTAGATCATAACTACCTCCACAAATATCTCGATATACCATATGAAGATTCCCTAGCATTATCATGTTTCTTCAATATATTGTGTTATTTAGCGTGGATGTTATTTACTTCTTAAATCTTCGATTTTCGATTGATACTACTATAATTTCCTCAATATCTCATAATCTCCTTCTTCGATAACACTCCTTGATTGATTTCTTATTTTCATAATATGTCTTTTATTGATTACCACATCGATTCTTTATAATTATTGATGTTTTATTCATTTATTTTCGATCTATTTGTAATTTAAGGATTAAAAATATGAAAATAAATATATTTTAATTGTATTGGACGATATTTCATTGTATAAAAATTATTAATTGTTTTATAGTATAAATTTTTTAATATTATTTATTGAATTTAAATTTAATAACTTAAATTTGATCTTCATAATTTTTTTAATATTTAAATTAATAGAATATCTATAAATTCTCATATTTTCTATTCTAATTCATTTTTTTCTCATTTTCTATGATTATTTAGTACACTATTGTTTAATAATTTTAGGTTAATATTAGTGATAAAATTTTATTTTAATTATTTTTTAATTTAATTTAAAATCATCTATTATTAGAAAGGATTATCACATAAACGCGTACTTGATTATTCAAAATAAATATCAAACACACGCAGATAAATTATTAAATTAAAAAATAAATTCTTCGATTAAGAAAAGGAAAAAAATGAGATAAAAATTAAATTTTCACCTTAAAATAAATTATTGTTATTATTATATTTCACTATAAATTAATAAATAAAAATAAATAAAAAAACAATATATTTATTACATAATGTATCAAAAAGTTTTTTTTTTAATATTATGCGAATTAACTATCATAATCTCTAAGTCCGACCCATAAGAGATGAACGAAGGAATTCAACCCATAATCTTTGCGGAGACGAGTCGTCTTAACCTAATTTTTACAAGCCAAACGTGAAACGGCCGGCCAACATTGTGATCCCTGACCGCCCCTGGTTCCGCCACCCAATCTTATTAATATATTGTTGGGAGGGTGCTTGCATTTATTTTTTCTTCTCAACCAATATGTATGCACCATTCCTATCACATTTAATATTTTATTTCCATTATTTACTTGATAAAACAAACTTTATCAAAATACTAATGCATATTGTTTCAAATTTAATTACAGAAAATAAAATATTACATGTATTTTTCTCTTAGGACTCCTAGACAAGACACTGCACGATGCACTCCCTTTCGCTTCTATTAACTCCTGACTTTGCTTCAGGACATTCAATTTATGATTTTTTATTTCTTTAGTTAACAACTATTCAGTTGTACAAATTCAAATTTGGTTAAAATTTCCATTACACTGGAAAATCAACCAATTCAAACAAGTATTGTTCTTTAAAATGATTCCTAATCAAATTTGAACATAAAAGATTACTCTAACTCACAAATTAAAGGTGAAAATTACTCTAATTAAAAAAAAACTGATGGAATATGAGAGAAATAATAGTGTATATACCAACAGGTCAGTTGAATTGGTTCGACGATATATTTTTAAATAATTAAATTTTAATTAAATCAGATTACAGTTTTAAAAAATCATATAAAATTAGAAAAATTGATTAAATTTTTTTATAAAAAAATAAAATAAAAAATAAGTTTTTTATAAAAAATATAATAATTTTTATTTATTTTATATTAATCATATTAATTTTAAATAATAATTATTTTATTATATTTTTATTATTATTATTTATTTATCTTTCATCGTTTACTCTATTTTATTTTTACAGTTTTTAATAACTATGATAACAATTTTTGTTATTATTTTTTAAAAATTTACTCTTAATAATAAATTTATTATATATTTATTGAATCTATTTTAATTATTATTATTATTATTAATTTTGTGTGTCTAGAAATCTCCTATTAATTAATATTATAATTTATAAATAAATATAATTTTCAATTTAATAAATTAGTTTTATAAGATTAAGTTAAGTATTAATAAATATAATTAATAAGAATTTTTTTTAGAATGAGTAGCGAAGCAGTATGTTAACATGGGAGTACAAGGATTTTCAATTCAGAGTTTATATATTATAATAAACTCTTTTGTTTTTTTTTTTTAGAAAATGAAAGTTTTAATTTATTTTTGTAACAATAATGGTTAAGACTATTCATTATTATTTATATATTATAAACAAAATTATTGAAAAATTAAAGATTTTTTTCTAAATTTATATTAATTAACAAAAATATTAGTCTTAAAAAAAATTGAACGATAAAAATAATATAAATTAATCTATGAACGTTATAGTTTAATGATAAAATAATTTCTGATTCATGAGAAAATGATTTTCTAAGTTAAGAGTACAATGTAATTGTGACATCTTTTATAAAAAAATTAATTGATATTTTTTAACTTTTTAATAATTAAATTGATGTCATGGACCAAATGAGATATTTAACGTATTTAAAAGAGGAAAGATTGTGTACAAATACTGCTTCACGCTGATTAAACGCGAAGTTGGAAAAAAAATAGCTTCGTACTAAATATTAGTTTTTCGTCAAATCAATACCAACCAATGTTTTCAGCCAACAAAAAAAAAAACGTTTTGTATTTTTTTATTTGTTATTACTTTTAAAGAAAGATAAGAACCCACACGTTGATTCGTACATTTGGTGCGTAACTATGTTTTCAACAACAACAAAATCATTTCATATTTTTTAATTCATAATATACTTTCAAAGATAACGTCTTTCTAATACTTTCAAAATTAGTCATATTAAAAGTTCACTATTTTGAATATTTAATATTTATTAAATATGTTAATTTAATTCTGAAAATTACTTTCTATCATCTCAATTTAAGAACATTAAAATTATCATGACATTTATTAAATACTAGGTATAGAAAAAATAAGAATAATAATATATAAACAATTATTTTTCATTAAATATCCATTCGACCTTCATCTTTACGTATTGTTATTTATTTATTTTATTTTCATTAATTAATAAAAAAATAAGATAAAAAAATATGATTTTAAAATTGTATATGGAATGTTCGCAATTTGACAAGTGTAAAAAAATCTTTACCAATGAGAAACTATGTAACAGTTCTGACTCTGTTCAAGGAAAAAACATTATAAGCCTCGCTTACAACGTATGTAAAATCATGAGTCTTATGCATGTTCTTCACAAACACAATTAACTCTGGCGATGATTCTAGCTCTTATAAATATTTGATTCTGCATTGGTTCTTACTTAAGCCCCAAATTGATAAAAGACACTACACAGTGCACACTACCACTGAGACCCAATGGCGATTTTCCTGCATGAAATCTACACTTCATGCTGGTTCTTCCTCCCAGTTATTGCCATCATCACCTTCCACTTTCTTTTAAGAAATTTTCTCGCTCTTTTCTTCAATTGGAATTATGATTCCTGTTCTGCAACAACCCCACCATCACCACCATCTCTTCCAAAGCTTCCAGTAATAGGAAACCTCCACCAACTTGGCACCCTCACTCACCAAACTCTCCAATCCTTTGCTCAAACATATGGCCCTTTGATGTTGCTTCACTTTGGGAAGGTACCAGTTCTTGTGGTCTCAAATACTGAAGCAGCACGTGAGGTTCTGAAAACCCAAGACCACGTTTTCTGCAACAGACCACATCGTAAGATGTTTGATATCTTATGGTATGGTTCCAGAGATGTAGCATCTGCTCCATATGGGCACCACTGGACACAAACAAGGAGTATATGTGTGTTCCATCTTCTCAATTCCAAAATGATTCAATCCTTTGGTGCAGTTAGAGAAGAGGAAATCTCCATAATGATGGAAAAGATTAGGCAGTGTTGTTTATCTATGATGCATGTGAATTTAACTCATTTGTTTTCTACAGTCACAAATGACATAGTATGTAGAGCTGCTCTTGGAAGGAGGTACAGTGGAGAAGGAGGGACTAAGCTCAGAGAGCCATTGAAGGAGATGGCTAAGTTATTGGGTCTTTCAGTTATAGGGGACTACGTACCTTGACTTGATTGGTTGGGAAGAGTTAATGGAACCTATGGTAGGACAGAGAGAGTGGCTAAACAGCTTGATGAATTTTTGGATGAAGTTGTTGAAGAACATGTCAGTTGTTGGCCCAAGAGAGGTAATGATGTTGATAGTGAAAGGCGGAATGATTTTATAGACGTTTTGCTGTGGATCAAAAAGACAAAGGCATCAGGATTCCATATTGATAGGACAACCATAAAGGTTTTGATCCTGGTATGTAAGATTTTTCAGTAACCAATTTCTGAGATTCTTCTAGCCTTGTATGTTACTTTTCTAAAACTTCGTTACTTCCATTCCTAATGTCAAATGATGTTATAAAAAGGACTTTATAAATCTGTATTAATAAAGATTTACTAAAGTTAAGATAAGACTACTGATGTTTTACAAATATACGAAACATTAGTACTTTTTCATATACTCTTTTCATCAATATACTTTTTTTATAATTTTATTTGGGGTATTATTTTATTATTTGAAATTCATAAAAATCTTATGGGCATTTCGATTGTAGAGTACATTGAAAAGAGTTAAATGATATGTTTCTAAAATCTCTTTGTAGAAAAGTTATATATGCTATTTGATTTCCCTTGTACTAATTTTCTACACCACTTTCCTGAGCAAAACATTAGGCATATACTAGTTGTGCAAAACCTTTGCATGTTTAATTTCCTTCTTGAAATTATTAGGTATCCAGTGGAATTGACAACTGATGGGTATTTCTTTTAGGACATCCTTTCTGGAGGCGTTGAAACTACCTCCTCAACCCTAGGGTGGATAATGACAGAACTTTTAAGGCATCCAATTGTTATGCAGAAGCTACAAGGTGAGGTGAGGAATGTGGTTGGTGATAGAACACATATAACCGAAGATGATTTAAGTAGCATGCAATACTTGAAGGCAGTGGTTAAAGAAACTGTTCGATTACATCCTCCAATTCCCTTATTGCTTCCAAGGGAATCCAATAAAGATACCACAGTGATGGGTTATGGCATTGCAACTAGAACACAAGTAATAGTGAATGCTTGGGCAATTGGAAGAGATGGTTCTTATTGGGAGCAACCTCTGGAGTTCAAACCAGAGAGATTCTTAAATAGTTCAATAGATGTGAGAGGACATGATTTTGAACTGATACCATTTGGAGCAGGAAGGAGGGGCTGTCCAGGAATAACGTTTGCCATGATTGAGATTGAGTTGGTCCTAGCAAACCTTGTTCACAAATTTAATTGGGAAGTGCCTAATGGAATAATGGGGGATCAGACCCTCGACATCACTGAAACTGAAGGGTCAACCATTCATAGAAAATTCCCACTTATGGCAATTGCATCCCACATGCATGAGAAATGAAATTAAAGATAAAATAACAAGTTATAAAGAAAGTAGGGACTATATTTTCAATAATGTTGTCTTATTCAAAATAACTTAAGCCAATAGTTACTTCATAGTAAACCTATGATTAATAATAGTTGAATGAATTGTATTGGTTGGTTTATCTTGTCATTGCCACTATCATTCATTTCTCTTCAATTTCTAAGTAAGTTTTCTATTCTATTTTCCAACGGTGATCTTTATAATTCTATTTTCCAATATTTGCTGGGACTTCAACTCTCTCAAGATAAGTTTTCTATTCTGTATTCTGTATACGCTATTGAAGGAGTTAAAGCTAGATTGATCTATAGATGACCTAGAAACCCTTTTTCTGTGCCACCTTTTACAATTTTGTTGATAAGTCGAAATTGACAACTTTTCCACCATGAAAATTGCAAGCCATGACAATGCCAAGAATTCCCGCTTTTGAACACATACCTGGGGAAGATGTTCCACTGAAATATAATTATGAAACTAATGAATAAAAAGGACAACATAATGATGCATATGCTATTTTGATCCAGTTTTTTTTTTTTTTTTTTTGGATAATTATATATAATGTTTGAACTTCCTCTTGATAAAAAACATGATAATGTTATAAAAGTCTTGTGTAGGACCATTTGGAGATGTGATTAAGGCTAGGAAAACATCACTTCCTATGAGATAAGAGATAATTAGTGGTCATTTCACAGTACAATCTAAACAAAAAAAATCTCACAATAAGAAGAAGATGATGATACATGTCTTTCAAAATAATTAGTTAATATTTTAAATAATGATCCTAAAATATTGCTCAGAGAAATCTTTCTTACTAAAGTAAAAGATCAGCTATGTGATCATTATTAGTAAAATAACTAGTTTTGGTTTATCATCAAGTGACAAGTTAATAAACATAATTTAATTTTGTATTCTAATACTTATTCTGATCATTTAAATCTTTAAGATATTTAAACAGATTTTAGTATGTAAAATATCGTATAAATTAATTTTTTATTTTTATTTTTATACCAAGAATATGTGATCGTGTCCAAAGTGAAAATAAATTGTTAAATTATTTGTTTAGTCCCTTTATTTCTTTAAGAATTCAATTTCACTCCTACATTGGAAAGGATTCAATTTGACTCCTTAATAATATAAATAAATAAATCATCCAATATTATTCTTTTTCATCTAAAGCAAGTTAACACAAAAAACAAAATATTGATGTTTATGATAATGTTATTATTAAATAAGGGGCACTTGTAGATCAATTTATTTGGTTCTCCTCTGTCTGTCTATTGTTGATGTTTCAGATAATGTAATTATTGATGTTCTAATTTTGACCACACCATCTTAGCCACCTTCGTTTGTATTTATTACAATGTTTGTAACGTAATGATGTAAGTTTTTTTTAGTGTTGGTTCAAAGCTTGGGAGCCTATCTTTCTATGACTTGATTCGATCTTTTTCAAATTCCGAGTTATTTATCCTGTTCAATAATACACTGGAGACAAAGCTCAATGAAACAGAACAACACACTCTCCATTTTCCTAAGACAGTAAAGGGAAAAAAAAAATCATAAAGCATAAAAATAATAATTATAATAATAATAACAATCTACTACCCGAGATAATAATAATCACCATTCTTAACAAGGTGTGTTATAAAGGCACTTCTGGCCATAATATTTTGATTATACATCATTCATATTATAGTCCCTTATTTCCTTTCTCAAGTTACTAATTTATCATCATAGTTCACTTATTAATACATGTAGGGATCGATGCAGTTGCCACAAGAGGGAATTTTCTATGAATGGTTAACCCTGCCTTTTGAGTCATGTCCAGTGTCTGATCACCCACTACTCCACCAGGCACTTCCCAATCAAAATGGTGAATAAGCTTTGCTAGGACCAGCTCAATCACATTCATGGCAAATACTATTCCTGGACAACCCCTCCTTCCTGCTCCAAATGGTATCAATTCAAAATCATGTCCTTTCACATCTATTGAATTATTTAAGAATCTCTCTGGTTTGAACTCCAGAGGTTGCTCCCAATAACAACCATCTCTTCCAATTGTCCAAGCATTCACTATTACTTGTGTGCCCTTTGCAATGTCATAACCCATCACTTTCACATCTTCCATGGATTCCCTTGGAATCAACAAGGGTCCAGGGGGGTGTAATCTAAAAGTTTCTTTGATCACTGCCTTCAAGTAATGCATGCTGCTTAAATCTTCCTCAGTCACGCGAGTTCTGCCACTAACCACATTCCTTATCTCACCTTGTAGCTTCTGCATCACAGTTGGGTGCCTTAAGAGCTCTGTCATTATCCAGGTTAGGATTGAGAAGCTAGTATCAGTACCCGCGGCAAACATATCCTGAAACAAATACCCTTCAATTGTCAATTTCATTCTCTATGAACACCGAAATTCCGCAAAGGAAAATAAATGTATTAATATGTGACCAAACTTTTGCTTAGGAAAGTAGTGTATAAAATATACAAGTTTTCTCAGTATTATTGCTCTAATTAAAAAATAATTCGTGGACATTCATAATAGTGAATGATGATACACATATATTTCATTTTAATAGTTATTATATATATATATTCTTTCTATTTACATAAACTTTTTAAGCGAAACACACATTGTACTAATCTTACATACCAGGATCAATGCCTTTATGGTTGTTTTGTCAATCTGGAAGCCCATGGAGTTTGTCTTTTGGATCCTCAACATAACTCTCAGCAAATCAGTCTGCTCATCATCACCATCACCATCACCATCATGCCCTCTTTTACTAACATCCTCATCAATAACATCATCCAAAAATTCATCAAGCTGTTTAGCCACTCTCTTTGCCCTACCATACATTCCATTAACTGTTCCCAACCAATCAAGCCAAGGTATGTAGTCCCCTATAACTTCAGCACCCAGCAGTTCCATCATCTCATTCAATGGCTCCCGAAGCTTTGTCCCTCCTTCTCCACTGTATCTCCTTCCGAGAGCAGCTTTACACACTATGTTATTTGTGAGATTACAAAATAAATCAGTTAAATTCACAGGCATCAAAGAAGAACAACACTTTTTAATCTCTTCCATCAATATGGAGATTTCCTCTTCTCTCACTGCACCAAAGGATTGAACCTTTTTTGCACTGAGAAGATGCAAGACACAAATACTCCTCATCTGCCGCCAGTAGTTTCCATAAGGAGCAGTTGCCACATCTTTGGAATCATATAAGAGGATATCATTCAACTTAGAATGTGGTCTATTGGAGAAAACAAGGTCATGGGTTTTCATAACCTCGCGAGCAGCCTCAGCTGTTGACACCACGAGAACTGGGACCTTCCCAAAGTGAAGCAACATTACAGGGCCATAGGTTTGAGCAAATGAATGGAGACTGCGGTGAATGAGGGTGCCAAGTTGGTGTAGGTTTCCGATTATTGGAAGCTTTGGAGGAGATGGTGGTGAGTTTTTTTCTGCATTGGAATTGAGCTTGGATAGAAGATTGAGTATGGTGGAAAAGGCCAGTATGATGAAGAATGCTTGCATGGGAATGAACCACAAGGAAAAGATTCCATTGAGAAAATTCGCCATTGGCTTTCTGCTTCAAGAGTAAGGTGACTGGTGGATTTTATAATTGCCTGCTGGTAATGTGTTGGTTTGTGTATGTATTTAACAAGTTCACGAGGGATCATTGTTTTATGGCACATGCAACTTCCAGCACAAGAGTTAAAATGCGACCTGTAGTACTGTACAAAGAATCTGGGACCATAATAATTACGAGGAATATATATATATATATATATATATATATATATATATATATATATATATATATATATATATTTAACACAAATTTTTTTTTTGGAGGGAATGACGAATTTTATATAGGACGAAGATCAACGTTATTAATTGAAATCAAATTTTGAAAAAAAAGTAGAGTATTTTATCATTTATCATCTTTTTCTCTTCTTAAATAATTTATAAATATTTTTTTAGTCATTTTTTAAATTTAATTTGATTTTTTATATATATTTTAACGTCACTATAGAATATTATAAAATAATTAATTAATTTATAACAAATAAAAAATTATACTAATAATTTTCATATTTTATATTACATTCAACATATTAATTTATTATAACAATAAATAAAAATAATAAAAAAATAAATATTATATTATAAGATAAAACTGTGGAAAAAAAATAAATGAATGATAAAAAAAATAAAAAAAATTGTGAAAAGATAAAATAAATGATGAAAAAAATAAAGTAAAAAAAAGTAAAAAGGAAAGATAAAAAATGAAAAATAAAATATAAATAAAAAATGTATAAGTAAAAAAATACAATATTTATTATATATAAATAAATAAATAATTTTTTTTGGGACCGACCGGCTGGTCTCTAAATTTGCTCTCGCCTTTTTTTAATTAAAATTTATTAAAAATTATAAACTTAGTCTATTTTCATAATTCATTTAATACTTTTTTGTGTTATAATTTTTCATAAGTTTTAACCAGTATGAATATTAATTAAAAAAATATATTTTTAATATATTTCGTTCTTATATATATATATACCAATATCACCTAACATGATATATTGATAAGCAGTCACGTCACATTTTTTTCCTTCCTTCTCATCTCTCTAGTTTTCTCTAATTGACATTTATTTTTATTTTATTTTTTTTAGTTTTTTATTTTAAATATTTTCTTGTAAAGTTATATAAAATAAAAACTTAATTAATTTTTTTAAAAGTATGCTTTAAAATTATTTAAAACATATTTAAATATTTATATCACATGTTCTACAACATAAAAAATATTATAACTAATAATCACACTGCATATTATTTATGAAAATAATATATTTACATTAAAAAAAACTAAATATGTACTTTTTAAAAAATAAAATAAAATAAATTTATATTTAATTTGGGTTGGAATTTTGAGAATTTTGATCAGTTATGAATATCCTTTTAATTATTAACACATTATTTGCATCATGAAAAAAAAAGGGTTTTAGGTGTTCATTAATGAAATAAATATATTAATAACATATTTATTATAAGAGATATATTATATATTTCATATTTTATTATAATCAAAATCGTGGAAATAAACTTCCTGTTTTATAAGTTATATATAAGATCTTTTTCACTTTTTATTGTCTCCAACAATGTTCCAACACTTTAATATATAAACATCAATTTAAAAGTTAATAATCAAATTTCTCAATTAACCATCTTAACACAATCTAAAAAAAAAGTATTAAATAAAAAAATTAATATCCATTTATTTACTAATAAGCGACGTATAATTATTTTTAAATTATTAACTTCAACTTCCTATTTTTTCTTTATTTTTTTTCACATAAAATAACTTATTATTTTATTTTATTGTGTAATTTTAATTAAAATATTTAATTAAATAAAACAAATAATAATTTTATTTTTTTAATGACTGGTTACATTACAGTAATAATAAAAATAATGAAAGTATTATTCAAATTGTAGCTTCTAAAAGAAGTAGTATTCAGATTGTATATCTTATATTTAAGAGAGAAAAAAATCAGTTACAATAATCTTATATGATTAATTTTGTTGACTTTTACAAAATTATCTCAAAGTGGTGTGAACACATTATCATTAAAAAAAATGTGGAGTTTAAAGTTAATAGAAATATACAAATAAAAAGTTAAATGATTGGAGAAGCTCCATTGAAACTTAATATTACATACACATCTTATTAATGTATTTAATTTCATCATGAGTTTCATGCCTCCTTCCCTAATCTTAAGATAAAAATTAATTTATTTATAATTTTATATTTTTAAATTAAATACATTTAATTAAATAGGGACTGAATTAAAGCATGACATATGAGAGACAGAAAATTATATTTAAGTCGTTATAAATGATTGATGAATGTCTATTCATAAAAACTTTTCTGTGATTCAAATTATATATATATATATATATATATATATATATATATATAAGAATTTTTATATAGTGTTGAAATTTTTATTTTTTATTCAATAATAAAAGTCTCAAATGTTATATATTTTTATTTGTTTATATCCATAATAATGAGGACTCGGATCATCCACGTGTAAAACTATTTTTAGTATAAAATATAAATTTATAATATTATATTATATTTAAATAATTATAATCAATATTATTTTAATGAAAAAATTAAAAAGAAAAATTATTATCTTTTTTATTTTTATAATTTATTTGATTAATAATTAATAAAATATTTTAAAAATTTTATATTGATTATTTAATAAGCATCTTCCATCAAAATACTTTCAAGAGACATATCGAGAGTGTTTCAAAATACATATTCAAATATAACTTTCATGACAAAAATTTATAAATGTTTTCAAAAAAATATACATATTAAAATTGATAAAAACATATTTGAAGAAATTAAAAATTCAGTACAAGAAAAATCGAAATTATCGACGGATAAAATTCGTCGATAAATAAGAAAATCATGTCGATAAAAAGATATTATCAACGGATTATCGACGGTCTTAAATCCGTCGGTAATAATATTGTCGGTAAAATTTACTGATAGATTTTGCTATTCCGTTGGTAAATGTCATGGATAATTATCAACGGATACTTCGTAGATAATTACCGACATATATATCCATCGGTAATTACCTATAATATTTACGACAGATTTTACTATTTCGTTAGTAAATATCATGGGTAATTACCGACGGATATACCCGTCGGTAATTGTCAGTTATGTGCATAACTTACCGACGGATTATCCGTCAGTAAAGCCGTCAGTAAAACCACTTCTATTTCTAGAGCAATTATATTTTTTTTTTTTCATCCCATATTTTTCATCCCATATAACCTGTAAAATAACATTCAATCCAGTCAAATTCAATAATCTATTCAACAATTAAATTAAACAGAAATCTAACTCAACTTAATCATAAGTAAATTCAAATGTATTGTAATTTATGCATAATAAAACAAAATGAATAATCTTAAAAAGAGGATCAACATACAAGTAGAATTGACATATTATTCTATAGATGTTTGTATAACATTTAATAATGAGAATAATCATGAGAATGATGTTCTGGTATGTTGTCTTCCTGTGGTGGGTTATCTTGTTGCTCTTCATTCAGTTGTTGTTGGGGTTGTTCTTCAACATCTGTTTCACTATGTTGACGCTGTTGAACAAGAGACTGTGCAGTGGGGGGTAGAAGATGACCGACAAGGGATTGAAACTCTCTAAATTGGTGCTCTAGTTGTTTGTTCTGCTCCCTTGTTCGACGCATTTCTTCTTCTTATACAGAAAATTGTTGTCTCAACTGATTAATTTCTTCTAAGTCAACTGAGGAGTTGGATGCTTGAGTTTGATGCTTCAAGTTATCTGAACCACCCTGATAACCATCAGGAAGTTGTCCAACCCTATACAATCTTCCTTTATTCGTACCTTCAATTGTGTCCACCCAACAACGGGACCTTATAACTTCATCATGTGCATTGTCAGCAGGAGTGGACTCGCTAACACAAGATCTAGCAGATGACCTAGCTTGTGAAAGTCTAGTTTCAAATTTCTCCTATTAGTAGAAACAAATAAATTATTGATATGATTATTAACTTTACATAATATACAAAGTTTAAGGTGAAGGTTCTCACGTGTGTCTTCCTAGATCTTTCATCAACAAATTGACCCGTTTTCCTCCTAATATGAGTCTGTTGGAAGATCTCATCAATAAAAGTTAATCTTCCAAGCTCCTTTGCCTACATTACATAAACAATTTGAGATATAAAACCCAATAAATATTTCAAAATCCTAAATGTATGATTAAAAGACTTACCATACGCATGGCATGCTCATGTGTGCTGATAGAGCCACCTGTGTGAAGGCTCCCACCCTTTACAGATGCCCTATTTTTTTGGGCTTGTGCATATTTGGACCGATACATTGGTGAGCTCCAATGTGCTAGCAAATTGCTTCAAACGTGATCTCCAATCCAGTCTGGTCTTTGACCAGCAATTCTTGCATCCCTAAACATCTCACTAAACCTGTGAGATGCTTTGGAATGAAAATTATTCTTTATTTGATGGTCATGCTCTGGTCTTCACTGAACCTTCATCTATAAAAGTATAAATTGTTATACACATTATAGAGAAATGACTACAAAACATATATTCAATTAATGGAAATCAATATTAACATTACACATCCTTCTAATAATTAAGTATGTACACAAGATTAAGTTACCTTAAAACGTCGAAAAAATGACTCCTTATCACTACTAGGTATCACTCCCCATGTGGCCCAAGGTTGAAGAAATTGTTGTTTAATACTCTTTGTTATAGCTTGTGATGCAACTCTGGACAGAAGTGTTGAACATACAAGAATATGATGCTTGAAGATTTTGATGATGATTCAAGAACAAAGGACTTAAAAACTTGAAGGCTTATAAACATTTGTATTTACTTGTAATAATTCTGTTTTGTCTTTTTGAGTCTGTAAAATTAGAGTCCAAGATAGTCAGCACATAGTCCATATCTAAAAGTTCATGTTTTTCAAAAACTCACTATGATAA